ATTTTGAACAGTTAGTGATCATATGATAAAATTCTTATCGATGTGAGTTTGGTTTGGCTCTCGTTCATGAAGCAAGGACTTCGCTGCGCTCGGTCCGTAGATCATGACCCCGAGCCAAGTATTAGTTCCCGTCCGGCCCTTCCACTCAATCAATAAGTACTCAGTATTTCGGTTTTGTATAATACAAAATTTTTATCACTGATGGTGTAATTGAACATAAAAAATGAAAAGTGTTATTCTTTTTTATTCTTTTTTAAATAGGGAACGTCAGGCTTATGTGTTGACCTCTTTGAAAGATTTTATTTTCATCACAAGATCGATCCCAGTACAACTTAAGTTTCTTTCTTTAAACGGTAAGCTATATGTGTGTGATAATCGACTCCTTGTCTTCGTGAACTTTTCATTTTCTAACGGGTGTGATTTGCATGATCGAAGCCAAAAATACTAAAAAAAACTAAGTGACTATATTCGGTTTGGCACGTCACACTTTACTAGGGATGAAAAATGAATCATTTTACCCTGTTTAATGTGAAACGTCAGGCTTAAGTGTTCATCCCTTTTGGAACGCTTGGATTTGCATGCATCACGAGATCGATCAGATCGAGAGTACAAATAAAGCTTTTGTCTTTAAAGGGTGTGCTATCTGTGCGTGAAAACTGGCCCGTTGTACTCATGAACTTTTCATTTTCTTGCGAGTGTGATTTGCATGATCGAAGACAAATATAGTAACTGTTCTAACGCATGCGAAAACGGACGGAATGGATCGGGAATTTGCTCGAGAATAACTACATCACTTGTCTTACCTTTGAATACAGTGACTAAAATATTGTAACAAGCAAATGGCATCTGGGAGAGGAGGTAGCTTGACTTCCAGTAATAAACAATATTCAAGAGGAGAGAGGTGGGGGAAATGGACTGCACTACAGTTACGTTGTAGGATCCGCGCATCCAGAGGGCACTTTCCTAAAAAAACTCGCAACGGCATTTCCCGCTGCTTTTACCTTTTCGTTTCCTCTTTTTATCAGAAAATTACAAGAAAATTGCCATTAGAGGGCACTAACACTAAGTCATCATTTGAATGAAAAAAATCCATGATGGCTAATTTTCCTCCTTGTCTTCGCAAAATAACAAATAATTACAAGCTTGCCTCCCGTTTAATTTAGAATTTATGTCAACAATACCTGATTTCTCGAAATTCGGGGAAACTTCGTTTTCTAAGGTACCACGGTCATAGCCAAACAGGTCGCATTTGAGAATTATGGGCTCAGTATAGTAGAAGAAGGGTCTCAATGGGGTAATGGCTTTTACGGCTAACCATCAAAATTTTGGCTATTTAGTACGAATAATGGTTAATATCATTGTAAATGATGTTAACCATTATGTGAATTGTCCAATAGCTTGAAACGAGCTTACATTAGTTAAGCTTCTGCCTAAAATTGTACGTTGTGAGGTTCCTAAAAAGATTTAGATGCTTAAATGGGTCATTTTTACAACAGTAATTAATTTAATTAGAAAACAAACATACAGGCTGTAATTCTTCGAAAAATTCACTAACTAGCTTAAAGGCCCATTTCCAACCTTGATGCAACGGGGTCGTTTGTTTTTGTTTTGAACCACCGCTTTTGTTTAAATAGCGCCTCTGATTGGTCAGTTTTTTTTAACCTTGTCACGTCTCAAAATACCTTCGGTGTTTTCTCCGATGAATTTGAAGAGCTTATCAAAATAATTCTGTTTAAAACAGTTCTATACGTTTTAATCCGGTATGGCATCAGATGAACCATTGATTTAGTAGATTCCGTGGCAGTAAACACCTATGGATCGGTTGTTGCTAAAAACGAACGCGAAAATCCTTTCGAAGAGGGTTAAAATGTTGATCCACCACGTTTTCATTCATTCATCAATTTTTTTTTATTGAAGTTTGTCATCCTTGTTAAATAAGAACCAAGGGTCAGTTGAAGTTTCCTGTCCATGGAGAGGAATTTGCGCTCGAAAGAGTGGTCGAGGTTGTTGTCCATGCAAAGCAGCAAATAAGAATTGTAACGCAAACTATCAGTGTCGCTGACGTTCCTGCAATGAAGTGACTAAACTTAAAATAATTAAACGTTCGGCAGTCCGATATTTTTCCATATTTCTCTTCGAAATCCAAAGAGTATTTATACGAAAATGTTCTACCTTTATTTACAATTCTCAAGCGCTTCCAGGCAGCCTAAAAATTTCGAACTTGATGTTTCTCGCTAACCCTGTATACAGAGTACGAAGCCATCCAAGCGCTTGACACTTAAAAACTTTTCAATGACACGGCTGGACACGGTCCTCAAATAACTCCATATTTCTCTTTGAAATATACCAATTTTTCGTTGGAAAATATTCTACATTCATTTACAATCCTCAAGCGCTTCTAGAAAGTGAAAAAAATGCCAACGTTATCTGTTTCGCTGACCTTGTACACAGAGTGCGAAGAGATCCAAGCGTGACACTAAGAAAATTTTCACTGGACACTACCGGAAACGGTCTTCGAATAACTAAACGTCCGGCAGTCTGGTATTTTTCCATATTTCTCTTTGAAAAATACCAATTTCTATTGGAAATATTTTATCTTCATTTAGAATCCTCAAGCGCTTCTACAAAGTGAACAAATTTGATTTTTGTCCTTTTCGCCGACTCTGTTCACAGAGTACGAAGAGATCCAAGCGTAACACTTAAAAAAAAAAATTTTTCTTCGGATTCTTCCTAACAAATTTCAAAATGCTGTAAGGAAACTGTGAAATAATGAATTTCGAATGTATTTACCGTAAAATAGTTGACTATATGTTCAAGATGGCTCTTGAGAAGACGATTTTAGAAGGTTTTCAGTGATCTGGGGAATTTCGTGTTACAGGAAAGTAGGTCGCGGCGCGCGTTGCATTAAGGTTGGAAATGGGCCTTTAAAATTGAACAATTTTCAATTGATAATTTTGATTTTGTTATCGTGGTCCACAGCGGGAAGGCTTTCTTTATCTAAGACATGGCGTGCAAAATTAAAAATTTCAACATTAAATTTGAAAATCACATTTCTGATTACTTATCTAGTAGTTGTTTTAAAACTCATTGGCAATCAGATGTGATCGATAATAGCCATACATTTCTTATTATCCAACACGCATTAATTATTGTTAATTAAATCTTTTAGCGGAAGGTCCCGTTTCGAAAAAAGCCAAGCTAAAAGGACAGAAACATTCAGAAACAGGGGCCAAGATCTGCTAAAAAAATTAAGTTTCCTTTGTTTTGTTTTCGCTGAGCGTTGATAAGGAACCAAAATGGAACCAAAATGGTCCTAACACATGAAGGTTTGTTTGAAGTTAAATGGATTCTAAGTTACAGCTGGATGTCACAATAAACTTTTACAACAGACTGAAACACCCTATCTATGAATGTCCAGCCATATACTGTGAAGTTGTTTCGCTTCTCAGAGAGATCCAGAGCCATTTCGGCAAGCTATGAGTTTAAGATCTAGAGGTTACACAACTAAGAAGTTAATTGGGTGGCTTTTTTTTGGGAGAGGGGGGATGTACAAGAGGGAAGATATAATTATAGTACCTATTCAGACACTCCCATTAAGTATCCTGGCATTTTCTCCCCTTCCTCCATGACATCAAGTGACGTCACGAGATAACCATTGATGACGTCATAGTTTGGCTTATGTGGTAGAGGATGGGGTGTGATATACTCTCAGAGGAGAAAACTTTTACTGCCGAAATGTAAGTGGCAATGCCTCCAAAAAAAAAAAAAAAAGTGTTTGTCTTCTAAAGGGGTACTACAGCTCCCTTCCCCCCCTCCCTTTTTTGGTGATTATGTATCACGAAGGAAAATGTTGGAGAATCAAAGCTCCCATTTTTGAAGAAAAGTGAAAACAATGATATCTTTGGGAAACAATTTACCTATTCTCTATTTCTGAAGGAAATTACTATTAACAATCCTCTTACTTTCTAGACTGAACAGAAAATGTTTGAGTTGTTGAGTTATAATTATCATTTTTTTAATTTAAAAAATAACTGTGTTTTAAAGAAAGCGACAAAACTTTTGAGTCTGTAAAACATGTACATAGCGTTGAAAGTTGAATTCTATTGTAAGTAGAAAAATGCTAAGTAAGATGAACAGTGACAACATGAAAAGAGGTAAAGCATGAAAGTGTGAGAATTAAAAAGATAGTTTTAGATTTACATGTTATAAAATAATTCAAATAATACACGCGCACTGATTGGCCATAAAACCATTTTACATGAGCGTATGTAAACACGGTTTTCGTTCCTCTTTCATTAGTTATTTTATAAAAGAAATGTAAAATGGTTTCCGCGTTTACATAGCCTGATGTAAACACGCGGGAGGTTGGGAGAACACTCGATAAGCTGGAAACCACTCCGCTTCGCGTCGTGGTTTCGTACGCTTATCTCGAACTGCTGATTCAAAGATGGTTGTTCTCTTTGAATATGAATAGCCTCTTTTATCTCAAGCTGAAAGCTGGTGGAGGCGTGATCTAAAACATGGAAGTTATCTGTAGAACACAAAGCACGACAATGTGGAGAATCTTTCAGATGCCTGAAAATGTGAGAGGCCCTGTCACTGACTTAGTGCTCTCTAACACGTGTGGAAAAATGCCGGCAGAGGTTTCACCGACGTAACAGGCATTACGGCCAGCGCATACAAACTTATAAACTACACGTGAACGGAGCCCGTCAGGGACAGGGTCTTTCACACCAAACAAGTTACCGATTTTGAAGGAAGAGAAAACCAGTTTGATATCCAAGTCGTTGCAATAGCGATAAATAAAATGGCAGATCTTTTTTGAGTGATAGCAGAGAAGTGGCCTATGTAGGGTAGTTAAAGTAGAACGTAGGTGAAGTGGTAGGAAGGGAATCCCGGGGATGATGATTGTTTTGGGTCCCAGTGATGTAACGGTTTACAATCTTCTGGATTAAATGAGCAGGGAAAAGATTCTCTGTTAGAATGTCAGTAAGATTGTTAATGTCCTCGTGAAACCCTAACCAGGTGCTATTAATCTTGTAAGCCCTATTAACGAGTGTCTTAATGAGACCCACTTTGTAAGAGTACGAGGTGAAGCTGAAATAATTAGTTAGTAACCCAGTGAAAGTTTTCTTGTGGTAAATCCTAGTTAGAGAGGAACTGAGGTCATGGTTGTCAATCAGGACATCTAAAAAGGGTAATTTGTAATTTAATTAACCTGCTTTTCCATAGTGAACTTGATGTTAGGGTGCCTAGAGTTGATATAGTCGAAAAATATAGTGGCATCTCGATCTGAGTTAAATAAGCAAAAAGTATCATCAACATACCGGCGATAAAATAAGATTGTAGAGCCATGAAAATTTTCCAAACAAAGTTTTTCATGATGTCCCATAAAACGATTGGCTAAGACAGGAGCAAGGGGAGACCCCGTGGCTACGCCATTTATTTGATCATAAAAAGAACCGTTAAATATGAAATGAGTCTGGGCGGTAGCTGTAGTGAAGAGACTTCTAAGTTCAGATTTGTTTAACTTAATGTCGGGATTACCCTCGGAAATGTAATTGACCGCTAAGTCAATACACTCCTCAAGAGGTATGTTAGTAAAGAGAATTTAAACATCAAAAGAAACCATAAACTTACGATATCTAGATAAAGATTGGATGTCCTGTACAAAAGCAAAAGTGTCAGTGGCACAGTAATCAGTTGGAATGTGAGGTGAGATGCCAGGTTGTAATTGTGTGTTCCTATAAAAGATACCATGGAGCGAAATGGTGGTGTAGAGTTAGCTTCACGATCCTTGTGCATTTCTGGGAGGGCCGTAAATTCTTGCTGGAAGAGGGGGAGTGGTGAAGAGATGCGAAGACCAAATTTTTATTTGAGAGTGGTTTAGGACAGAATATTAACACATTACGAGGGTTGTCTCGTTATGAGTTCAAATTGAAAACACAGGTAGATGCTCAGCTAGAGAGCGTGAAGGTTACAACCTTTTTCTAGACATTTACAGCTCTCAAAAAGTCAGGCATTGATATCCCAAGAACGCATCTTTAATGAATGTTAAAATTCTGAGCCGCTTACAGAATAAAACTTAGACGATTTATGTCAGGTTTTCAGCGCACAAAAATGTTTCCATGTGGGTTTGGCACGTTTCTCAACTGGTTTGGTCGATTTGTACCACAAGGATCATGAGTTGGTGAGTTAATCCTTGTGTCTCCATCAAAGTAGTAATAAGTACTTCCAGCAGTGAGGAGAGGTCCGCGACTGGGAGGACTCATAGATTTTGGTACCGTTCAAGCGCACTAATTAGAAACCTGCTTGACCAGTTTACAAGAAAGTGACCCCTTCTTCTGTTTCACTATGCTACCAGAACCTTCCTTGCATGCGATCCAGTTGTTGATGTTGCTCTTGATCAGGAATTCCTTGCCAATGCTGCGCCACAAAGAAAAGTCCATGGCCTCATACTGCGTCTCGCTCAGTGGAACTGTTTTAGACACTCGAACGTTAGCGTCGCTAGCTGACCAAGATGGGCGCGGGGTGACAGCGTTTCGGCCGGTCCAGAAGCTTGAGTAGGCAGTGAAAGTGTAACTGTAAACTAGTGTCCAGCCCCCTCCATCTGTTTGCTGGTCGCAGTAGACCTGGAAAGCGTTACTACGGGAACCGCCATCAGGATCTTTCCAATAGACGCCTGACACGGCGTAAGGGGACTTCTCTTTGAGCACCTTACAGTTCAGCACTGCTAAGTCTTTGGACAATCCTATGAAGTCTATAAAAACAAGATAGAAATGTAGCCAGAGGGCATTCCTATCAAATTTGCTCATAAATGATTTTCTGATTGTATGTATATCACTGAACGCTGGTAAATTTCGGGCGAAAGAATAAAATTAAGGGTATCCAATCTGCTATATATATAGTATAACTCCAGCTCAATTATTTTGTTGGATCACAGATTGGTGCTGGGTATATTGCAATTCAAGACTCAGTTATATAAAAATATTTGGTTTTTAACAGAAAGAAGAGGAATATGAAAAAGTAATCCAAGAAACTTAGACCTGGTTAAAGGTGCACTCAAGACAAGGGTTTCATTTTTCGGGGAAAGTACGTAACACAAGTACAGACACATTTTGAAATTCCCAATCGTGAAAGGATGACATTAAATGGCATAAAACGTGAAATGCAAGGGCATGAGGTGAAAAGCACACTAGTATTCAAGTCAATCTCGCTTTTCTTGATAAGTTTATACCAATGTCTTAAAAAATAAAAGAGAAATATCATACCTAGTTCCGTTTGCTCTGCCAAACTGTACGTTCCATTTCTCAATCGTTTGATAATTTCGTTCTTGCAGAACAACGCCGTCCCATAAAGATATAGATTGCCTTTTGCATCCACGTCCAATACTCTAAAGCGTCGCTGATCCACTCCCCTGGGGTCCGAGATCAGAAACAAACAATTTTGTTAAAAATCTTTCGTCCTAGTTTTTCCAATACGAAACGTTGTTTTGACTATTGTCAAGCGTTTTTTGATAAAAAATGATACTTTAGTTGGTATAAATCACCAAAACAACTGATCGAAAAGGTGAAAACTCTCAAAAAATTAAAAGATTTTGGGTTCTTAAGATTCCTTGAATAGGATGTATGTATGGGCAGCCAAAAATCTAAGGTAAACTTAAAATCCATTCAGTGATGTAAAAGTTAATAATACCCTGAGGTCGAGAAGAAAACGAAATAGAAGATCATCAAATGTAATAAAATCATTCCAGTGTTTTTGTCGAGATCCAAGTTGCAATACTACCGGCCGATAAATATGCTTTTTAATGTTTTAATAAAACTCGGAGTAATTTATTTTTAAACACAATCATCCATGTCATCTAATAAATAAAGGTTTTGTGACAGTATTGATGTTTTGACAGCTGATGAGACTATTTGCCCTAAGGAGTTTATAGGGAAAACGCACAATTTTGCACTCAGGATGACTATCAATAAAAATAACCCAAATTTCTTTACAATTTACTCAGAAGAGTTAGTTGATGAGGCAAGCAATAAACTAGTCTGTACTTTAAGATAATCTTGTGCAGCCTTCTTTTTATAATTTTAGATGTAATCAAGCCAAGTGCATTAGATATTTTAATCAAACATAATCTTATACCCATAAAAACGTATTTACATTCCACTGACCGATTCTTGCTAATCAAAGAAAAGTTGTAAGCTCCTACATCGATACAAAAAGAAGAAGGGGCATTTGTAAATAACGTAATTTTCCGGTTGAACGAAAATCTCAATAACACTTAAAGTTTTAAGTGCAAATAACTCTTTGCGGCGTTGATTTTTTCGGTATTTTTACACCGTCATTTAGGAGTTAGTTCGTGCATGAAATGAACATGTTCGCGAATTCAGTCGTCGTATGTAAATTTACGACCAATGAAAAATTAAAGCGTATGTGAAATTATTTCGAAAAAACAGTCGACAGAAAGTAATCATGAAAATAAAACATCAAAAGATCTCGTGCCATTACCAAGTTGCGTCCACCCTAAGAGAACGTGTGTGGTGTCGATGATAAATCGTGTCCAAAAAAATTGTGGTTTAAGTTTTGATTTCGTTCTTGAAGTGGAAAAAAAGGAATTGTTGGTGAGGCCGCTAAAAAGGATACGCGACTACTGGCTATTGATGATGGTTTGTAAGGAAAGAAACGCTGTTAATTTAAAAGTTTTAAACGTATAACGTCAGTCACATTTAAATCATTCGAATCAGCTAATGAGCGCGTGCCTGAAATTGAACACTAATAAGGGGTTAGGTAACCCGCCTAGCCTTGCTCGAAAAGTAAAACGCGTTTGCATACAATCTTACAACCCCGGGGTGCTGGGGTAAGGTTTCTTTTGGTTTTTGTTGCACTTTCAATTGGGAAGGTTGAGCAAAAAAAGAGAAAGACGAAAGATTAATTTTCGGACACGTATGTATTTATTCTTGAAAGCGCTAAGCGTTGTGTTACGCGGTGTTAGGTTACGCGAGGTTTCATTGACTTAATATATTATGGGGAATAGTTTGAAATATGGTCGATTTACAACGCTAAATATTCCGAAAAATGAACACTTTACACTCCTTGAGTGTCCGTTGCGGTTTCTGGTGATTTCTGCCATGAGACGGTTAGGAAATGTACAAAGTTTTTAAAACATACGTGCTTCACTTTTGAGCTTTTTGCCATGAACGCGACCCCGTCTAGGGGGATTACCCCACCTCGAGAAGTTTACATGGCAAATTGTCACCCCGGCTGACAGGGTTACCCTACCTGGCAGACCGGGAAACCCGCCTAGGCGGGTCAACCCACCTATCATGTAAACGTGATTGAAATAAAATAGGAAATTATATGGACAGGCGGGTTACCTCACCTACCTGGGGTCCCCCACCTCCATGTAAACAGGCCCTAAAAATGAAAGACTTTTTAAGTCCGTAATTGCGCGCGCCAGGGCTTAACTGTCAACTTGGTTCTTTCAAAGTTTTTTTTTTTTTTAATGAATGCCATAAATGCATAAATGTTGCAACAGTTACAATGATAAATTGTTCAAAAATTCAAGTTAGTTTATTTAGATTTGAAAAGTGAAAAGACTGTCATATGGCACTTGCTTATAATGGTCGAAAAACAAGAGAGAGAAAAAACAAACCCAACAGAATATTGAAAACACTGTTCGTTTTTTCTGATCCCAAAAATAAGCCGGCGGTGAGGAAACTTGTTTTAACTTTGCAATACTCTCGGTGCAGCCTCAGTAAATAACACAGTTGCAATATTGAATCAGTTGTAATCAAGCCAGGATACATGATTTATCAGATCACGAGACAAAACTCGTAGCATTGTATTATATAACCATCGCTTCAATATTTGCGCAACCTCGACGAATGAAAGCAAGCTGTGAGCAAACATTTTTAACTTGTTTGGTTCAGAAGAGGGTCTCTGTGGGGTGATGGGTGACTTTAGACATTAAAAAGTCCGATTGATTTCTTCTAATAAGATGTTCGAGCATAGAAATACAAAAAAATATTGCGTTCGTTAATTTCCTTCGCCGCAGTGACTTCAAATTTTTAGTGATTTTGCTACCGTGACAGATGAATTATGCAAATTAGTCTGTTGAGCAAACTCTGACCGTTCTATATCAATGGCTCCCTGTTGTTTGGTTCTGAAATGTTCATACAGGTTTAAATAGCTCAAGCTCTCTAAACTGAAATAGGAAAGAACACAAACCATTTTCTTTAAAAAAGAGTTGCTCGTTAAAACGCTGACCGATCGCTAATCAGTACGATAGTCGATACGTTTTGTTCGTCTCTTGTTTCACATATCACAAGAGGCAAGTGATCAGTTGAAACTTGAACTTGAAGTATTGACGAGCTTGCATGACATTCCTGCCATCCGGAAGCGATTTTAAACTTCTGTCTTCACAGATAAGTTTTGATAAGGATTTATTTTGAAAGAGGAGTGGTTGACAAGGATCTTTTAAGATGGTACATCAAATTTATTCCTCAAATATTGAAGATTTTGTTAACTAAACCTTACAAAAGGCTTTGAAAAAAAAATTAAACCAGATTCTAGTGGTTCGTTTTATACCTAAACTACTGTTTTAACTTTACTGATTTCGCTTGACTTTAAAGCCTTACTTACGTCAACATTTTTCTGTGCTTATTATATTGGAAATAAAATTTTTGCGTAGTTCAGTTGAAGGTTTCTTTATTCTTCTCTTTCTTACATACAACTTATTACCTCTGGACTAATTCAGATCTAACAAGGAAAGTGTGGGTCTCCGCTTATAAAAGGGACACTTACTGAGCTGCCAATCTCTAACCTTCGTCATCCTTTTACACTTAACTAGCGAATCACGTTAAGCTACGCAGAGTGGAGTTCGCATACTAAGTAGATACCTTCGAGATGTTTACGCTTTACAAAATCATTTTCTTCCTTAAATTTCTTAGTCTTACAGTCAAGGTTGGTCATAACTAAAACAAGATTGATAATATAAAAATCGTAATGAACTTACCAACAGAATAAGAATCTTACTTGAAAAGCCATCTTAGGAGGAAATACTCCTCGAAGACTGTTACACAACAGAAGAATAAACAGAAAATTCGGAGAAGAAAGGGCGTACCCAAAGTACCGCCCCTAAAAGAGCTACGTGCTATTCGTATAAATTACCTGATCATAAATTCAGTGCGGAGGATGAAAAGTACTACTTGTTTACACCTTAAGTCACCTCTAAGAAAAAGAGGTATCGAGCGTGCTAAATTATACCTGTAAGATAAGACCGCCAAAAGGAATAAGAAATGATCAACTGGCTTATTATAATTTTTACTGAATGGCTTATGCTAATATACTATTTCCATACATTTCCAACGTTTAAATAAGTAAAAAAAACACTGGATAGATACAAATTTTGTCTTTAAACAATATTGAAAAAGAAAGCACAAAAAAATTGAACTAGATCTAATTTGGGATAGCTCCTTTTTTTAATCAATGAAATACCAGATGAAGTATTTTCTCTACTTGTTTCTATTCAATTTATGCATCTAAAGGTCTTTTAGCTCTGTTTCCTTCGAGTGATTCTCATTATTTATTCTGTCGAAGTCTCTTTCTCTGTAAACAAAGTAAAAAAAAAACAGCACTTTATTATTAACTCGATTAACATTTTGGATATAAAATAAGCACAATTATACCAAGCTCAATATCTAAAAATATAAATGGCTAACACTTGCCCCTTTCGAGATTCTCTATTTACATCAGAGAGCGTCGATAGTAACTCTCCGAAAAGAAAAAAAAGAAAAAAAATATATATATATATATGGATATATATCGAACTACCCTTGATGGTAACAAACGACCCCCGCCGACAGTCAGCGACTAGTAAACTACAGCTACCTTCACATCTGCTTAGACTTTAATTTGTGAAATATCTTTTCGGACTGAGTCTTACCTCTGCTTGTCAAACCCGAGTCTCACATCATCTCCAATCAGCGTAAACGAAGCCCACTCAGACACTCTGGTAGACTTGCTTTTTCTCATCCACTTCATGGCCTGATGGAGGGATTCACTGGCACTTTCTCCCTCTACAAGGTGTTCGTAGAACCGACTCATCAGCTGCTCTGTTGCTGAGTCTGAAATGGCCCACAGCGCAACCAACACCGAGCGAGCACCGGATCCTAAGAACGCACGGGAAATTCCTATAACTCCCTCGGCTCTAATGTCACCTCTTCCACTGTGACAGTAGCTAAGTACCACCAGTTTAGCTCTGACTTTCACTCGTGATACATCAGCCATCGTCAATATGTAATCTTCATGTGGTAAGATAGCGTTTCGCCTGTTGGAAGTACTAGGGATGGGGGAGAGGGCAATTTCTCCCCTTTCGGCGTCACCATGGGCAGCAAAATGAATCAAGCTCACAGAACTTATCCGCTCAAGCACCGCCTGCTTCGTTGCTTCTTCTCCTACCAGAGGCGGAACACCCACCAGTCGTCCGACCATCTCCGCTTCCTTTCTTGCACCTGGCAATGGCGGCAGCCAACCAACCTTAGGGTTGCCTATTATCAAGGCACCAGTGTTGCTGTGATAGTCGTCTGGGCTATCTTGAATAATCTTGAGTGTTGTCAAAGAAGGAATGACACGGATTCTATGAGTCTCCGAGAGGTATTCGGCTCCCTCCTTTTCACTCAGTGCAGCAAAGGGAACTTTGTACAAACTGCGGTCAGGAACGATAATGACTTCAGGCTCCTCAAGCAAATCATAAACGGGAGCAATAAACATTTGGTAACACAAAAATAGAGCTGAAATCACTTTCTCGTCCTCATCCTCGTTTTCGTCGTCCTCGTCGTCCTCCACGAGTCGCAATCTTGCTGAGCTCTTCTGTGCGGGGGAGAGAGGTTGCAATTTAACCATATTTAAAGACCGATCTTCACAATCTTTAGTGGGCAAAATACCAAGACTCCGGAAATTATCATCCAAAAATTTACTCAAACGCAAATCTTTGGGCAACCCAGCATGAACTAGATTCTCTTCTACTGATATTCTTCTATAGCGAAGGACTCCACTTTTCTTTAAGATCCACAAACGCAGATCACTGTGAAAATAAGAAATGTACAGACAAGTACAGTTATTTTTCTTTCTAAAAATGTTCTCAACGCCAAACCAAGATTGCGGATTAGCAGAGATGTGCGTTCTAACCGAGTACTTCTCTACCATTAAGTCTGAAAGGCCTCTAGCTCGACCCAACTCCTCAACATAAAGAGCATCCCGAGCATTTCCGGTGTCACAAAGCAAACTACAAAGCAGCTTGTAGGGAAATATTCCTGATTTCTCCAGAAATGATGTTTTGAACTCATCATTGGCGCCTAAGAAATATCTCAGCTCCTCATACTTTTCAATGCAGAGATAAAGACACGAAAGGGATTCTTTTTTTTTATCTTGCGACAAATACGAAATGGCGTAACTTTTAAGGATTTCGAACTCTTTTCTTCTATCCCCAATATCTCTTGATAGCGACAAAGCTTTCTCCAAGCATACTTCTGAGGCTTCATAATCTCCCATAGCTCTACACACACGTCCAAAGTTTGCAAGATCTGCTACTTTCCCTTCTTTATCACCAATTTCAGATCTGATGACGAGTGCTTTTTGGAGATACTCTTTAGCCTTGGCGTATTGTCCGAGCGAATGAAACACAGTACCTAGGTTTCCATAACATGTTGCTTTCCCATTTCTGTCGCCAATTTCAGTTTTGATGACAAGCGCTCTTTGGAGATACTCTTCAGCTTTGTCGTATTGCCCGAGCGACTCAAACAAATTACCAAGATTTCCGTAGTCAGTTGCCTCTCCTTCTCTGTCACCAATTTCAGTTCTGATGACAAGCGCCTTTTGGAGATACTCTTGAGCCTTGTCGTATTGCCCGAGCAACATAAACACAGTACCAAGGTTACCGTAGTCCGATGCCTCTCCTTCTCTGTCACCAATTTCAGTTCTGATGACAAGCGCCTTTTGGAGATACTCTCTAGCTTTGTCGTATTGCCCGAGCGACTCAAACAAATTACCAAGATTTCCGTAGTCACTTGCCTCTCCTTTTCTGTCACCAATTTCAGTTCTGATGACAAGCGCCTTTTGGAGATACTCTCTAGCCTTGGCGTATTGTCCGAGCGAATGAAACACAGTACCTAGGTTTCCATAACATGTTGCTTTCCCATTTCTGTCGCCAATTTCAGTTTTGATGACAAGCGCTCTTTGGAGATACTCTTCAGCTTTGTCGTATTGCCCGAGCGACTCAAACAAGTTACCAAGATTTCCGTAGTCAGTTGCCTCTCCTTCTCTGTCACCAATTTCAGTTCTGATGACAAGCGCCTTTTGGAGATACTCTTGAGCCTTGTCGTATTGCCCGAGCGACATAAACACAGTACCAAGGTTACCGTAGTCCGATGCCTCTCCTTCTCTGTCACCAATTTCAGTTCTGATGACAAGCGCCTTTTGGAGATACTCTTGAGCCTTGTCGTATTGCCCGAGCGACATAAACACAGTACCAAGGTTACCGTAGTCCGATGCCTCTCCTTCTCTGTCACCAATTTCAGTTCTGATGACAAGCGCCTTTTGGAGATACTCTTCAGCTTTGTCGTATTGTCCGAGCGACTGAAACAAGTTACCAAGATTTCCGTAGTCAGTTGCCTCTCCTTCTCTGTCACCAATTTCAGTTCTGATGACAAGCGCCTTTTGGAGATACTCTCTAGCCTTGGCGTATTGTCCGAGCGACTGAAACACAGTACCTAGGTTTCCATAACATGTTGCTTTCCCATTTCTGTCGCCAATTTCAGTTTTGATGACAAGCGCTCTTTGGAGATACTCTTCAGCTTTGTCGTATTGCCCGAGCGACTCAAACAAATTACCAAGATTTCCGTAGTCACTTGCCTCTCCTTTTCTGTCACCAATTTCAGTTCTGATGACAAGCGCCTTTTGGAGATACTCTCTAGCCTTGGTGTATTGTCCGAGCGACTGAAACACAGTACCTAGGTTTCCATAACATGTTGCTTTCCCATTTCTGTCGCCAATTTCAGTTTTGATGACAAGCGCTCTTTGGAGATACTCTTCAGCTTTGTCGTATTGCCCGAGCGACTGAAACAAGTAACCAAGATTTCCGTAGTCAGTTGCCTCTCCTTCTCTGTCACCAATTTCAGTTCTGATGACAAGTGCCTTTTGGAGATACTCTTGAGCCTTGTCGTATTGCCCGAGCGACATAAACACAGTACCAAGGTTACCGTAGTCCGATGCCTCTCCTTCTCTGTCACCAATTTCAGTTCTGATGACAAGCGCCTTTTGGAGATACTCTCTAGCCTTGGCGTATTGTCCGAGCGACTGAAACACAGTACCTAGGTTTCCATAACATGTTGCTTTCCCATTTCTGTCGCCAATTTCAGATTTGATGACAAGCGCTCTTTGGAGATACTCTTCAGCTTTGTCGTATTGCCCGAGCGACTCAAACAAATTACCAAGATTTCCGTAGTCACTTGCCTCTCCTTTTCTGTCACCAATTTCAGTTCTGATGACAAGCGCCTTTTGGAGATACTCTCTAGCCTTGGTGTATTGTCCGAGCGACTGAAACACAGTACCTAGGTTTCCATAACATGTTGCTTTCCCATTTCTGTCGCCAATTTCAGTTTTGATGACAAGCGCTCTTTGGAGATACTCTTCAGCTTTGTCGTATTGTCCGAGCGACTGAAACAAGTTACCAAGATTTCCGTAGTCCGATGCCTCTCCTTCTCTGTCACCAATTTCAGTTCTGATGACAAGCGCCTTTTGGAGATACTCTTGAGCCTTGTCGTATTGCCCGAGCGACATAAACACAGTACCAAGGTTACCGTAGTCCGATGCCTCTCCTTCTCTGTCACCAATTTCAGTTCTGATGACAAGCGCCTTTTGGAGATACTCTCTAGCCTTGGCGTATTGTCCGAGCGAATGAAACACAGTACCTAGGTTTCCATAACATGTTGCTTTCCCATTTCTGTCGCCAATTTCAGTTGTGATGACAAGCGCTCTTTGGAGATACTCTTCAGCTTTGTCGTATTGCCCGAGCGACTCAAACACAGTACCTAGGTTTCCATAACATGATGCTTCTCCTCTTCTGTCGCCAATCTCGGTAGCTATAGCAAGGGCCCTCTCAAAATATTCCTTCGCCTTTAGGTTTTCGCCAGGTGTTTGAAGCATAATTCCAGACTCTATGTATAAGATTAACAGCATCTTGCTGAAAACAACTATAAAGATGTCTTTGCTGTTTTGATCGGTGCTCTTTAGCAAAATCAAACATTCCCTGCATATCTCAATTGCTTTCTGAATGCGATTTGAGTTGAGCAAGAACATGGAAACAAGTAAGGCGATGAAAGCTATCATGGCTTCTGCTCTTAGGTTTCCATTGCCATCCTCTCCTGTAACCAGGGAAACATTATTTTTAGTAACGCAATACAAAGTGATTCGATAATCTGGATTCATAATGAGTCACTACAAACCGGAACACACATGTTAAGTTACAAAAGCAAGCTTGGTCGATTTCACCTTGAAACTTTTTGTAACGAGCTGAAAGTGTTAGAATTCACTATATCGGCTTGAAAAAAAATTGAAGAAGGGTGTGGATAAGTACAACTGGAACACATCAACGGATCACATTTGGTGAAACTTTTAAAATTTTATTTGACCTGCGCAGATTCTTTGAAACAGACTGCGTGACTGTCACGCTATGAAAGTCATCTGTTATCCAAATGATTTTTGGTCCAGCTGTTTCGTTTATTCTTCTTATCAAGTAAAAAAAAAATGACGCATCCTTGAGTTTGATTAACGATCGTATGTCGGGGGGTAGCGCCATCAATTGGGTGGTTTTGAAAGGTTGCAGGTTTCTTAAAAAAATAAGAAGGATTGATAAACCTTTTACTACAACGTTCTGGGAATATTTGAAAATGTTGTTCTAGCAGTTTATCACCAGGTAATGAGCTTACTTATCTGAAGTAGATGGCTGAAAACGAATCTATTCGTTACTGATGAGGATGATTGCCTGGATTTGAGGTACAAGTGGTTTGACAAACTCGGTTTGTCGCCTTTCATTTTACTTAAGTTGCGATTTTTGCACAACATCACATGACTGTAAAGTCACAAGACAAAGATAAAAAAAAACAGCATTTATCTTAGCTTTTGCTATGAGAACTTTCCCATGCATAGTTTCAATAAACAACATTAATCAACGGGGTAAGTTTCTAAAGCAACTGGTGGGATATACAAAATAATTTGGCTTTGTTATTATTTGGTACATTATAATTTGACCGTTGTTATTTGAATTTAATATATTTCACAGGAATTATTAATTTGACTTATGATTGGTCCAGGTGCTTCTTTTCCTTTTTTTATTCAAATTTTCTTTTTAAATTAGCATATTTATATATTTTTTGTTTTTACTCTCTGCGTTGTAACCGTCTTTTTCGTGTGAGCGGAATAAAATAAGCAAAAGTTCGTTTTCAATGGTGAAAAATAATTAGGCTTTACCAACTGAGTTGACATTGTAAATTGGTCATTGTAATGAGTTTCTGAAGCTGACGTTTTGAGCGTTAGCCCTTCATCAGAGCATTTGATAATCTTAGGGAATCAATGATGTTGTATTACCAGTATTCCGCAAAGAAACCAGCGATAACCGCGATTATCCTATGACATCAGCAATGAAATAAATATATTTTCTTCTATAAAAAGATTAATTGCGTAATTGTGAAAACAATCAGTCTCTGCAATTACGGTTATTCACAATGTGATATGCAAACACAAAAATCGGAAAAGCATTCATAAGGCTACCCATCAGAGCCTTACTTCTCTAGAGTGACTAAATAACCATAGATGATAAAACATGAGTACCTATAAAAGTTCTTTAGTCTTTATTTACTTAATTTAATCACTACTAAAGATGTTGACGATATAGCTGATGCTTTTGAAACAATAAAAGAACTAAGTTTTCCAAACATTCCGAAACTTGTGCTTTCACTGTTTTTTCGGGTATCCCCACGTTTTGGGTATCCAGACCACTTCTGTTTTGGGTATTCCCTCTTGGCTATTACTTTGAAAGTGAAACGGCAAAAATAATAGGGACGTCAAGCAAACCACGATGGCGACGGCAACGAGAACATGAAAAAACAAAAGATCTATTGGCAGAACAATAGCTCAGCAGGTGCGTTTTAAAACTTTGTACATTTCTTTCCATTTGGAACTCAACGCTTCTTTGATACGTTATGCTGAAGTTGAGGTGTGGCGCCTTATGAGACGGTAAACAAATGCAGCCATTTTTGAAATTCTGATTAAACAGAAATTTATTTTTTAATCGAAGTCTTCCTTGGTTTTTCCATCCTGACTGCTTAAGGTCCCTAATGACAGTAGGGACCTGTCTAATTGGACGGTGAAATAGGACAGTTAAAGGGATTATCAATAAACGGCAAAATTACTGAGCGCTGATTGGTTGAGAGAGAGGGCATTTTTTCTTAATCGAGGGCATTTTTAGTAATCAAGAGAGGGTATGATTACCTGTTAATGATTGGCTAATCCGTTGCATAGCAACCGTTCGTTATCTTGAAATTTGTTAAAAATAGACTGCGCGCGTGATTTTCCTTCGTATAAATTTTGCCCTTTATTGATAAACAAGTAATCCCATGAGACCTCGTACTATTAAGGATTAATTGCACTTGAGTTTTCAAAATTTTCCAAATTGCCCTCGTCGCTTCGCGACTCGGGCAATTTTGGAAAATTTTGAAAACTCTCGTGCAATTAATCCTTAATAGTACTTGGCCTCATGTGATTACATATACTAATTAACACGCCATGCCTGTGTGAGTGGACAGAACGCGTCATGCGCGCACGCTGTTGTCCCGCATTCCGCCGAGTTCACTGTTGTTGCTGGCTTTTTTTATATGACGCATCACCGATATCTAGTTTCTTTTCTCAAATTTTGTCATAGTTTTGATCAATTGGTAACAGGACATCGTGTCGTCCAATTCTATCAGTAATCATACTCTTGATTAACAAATCGGACTTCCGCTTCGCGGTCGTCCGATTTTGTTCACAGACCGAATTGGACTCTACTCGGTCCTATTACCATTATTAACCATAACCACTACAATTTCCTCAAAAATTTTCCTAAAAAAGGAAAACTGGGGGGATTTCCAAAATGAAGTAATTTTTACTTTTCCCGTTGTCTCTACCGGAGATATTTGTCCAAAATGTATTTATTGTTTTCGGAAATTTTTAATCACTCGGTACGATTACAGACCGAATTAGATTCCACGCGGCCCTATTTACCATGATAACCAATCATAAAGTTGTAATTTATTCGATTGTGATTGGTTTAAAAAATTCCCATTATCCACTGATTCACTTGCCAAGTTGTTATCGGACAGTTTAAAAAAACCTTAAGCTGACATTTTGATATAAATCTAATTCACGAAAGTTTGCCTGATGGTCGGCATTTTGACTTTAATTTTGAACTAATGTTTTTGAAGCACAGCTAAGCGAAGCATGGAAACAGGTTTCTACGTAGACTCCAATATGTAAATGCGCCACCAGCTTACTCGCTCACTGACCCATTCAGGTGTAGACACTACTGGGAATAAGTAACTTTGATCTAGTTCTTTTATGATCCAAACAGAACTTTTGGATTTACTCATCACGTGAGGAAACTCAAAAACTTTCCCCCCTCCTCAGTCACTTATTTCTCCAAAGGCAACTTGTTCATATTTTCAGCGATTGCGGAGTGCTTTTATTGCGTAGCTTGACAATTAGACAACGTTAATATTACTGGAAAACGAAAGCCCCTAAGAAATCAGTATTCTACTTTCAAAAATAGAAAAACACAAAACAAATTTTAATTCAGCCGCAGGCAAATCAATTAATTATTCATTGTGAGTATTCAAAGAAGCAGGCAAGGAATACAGTCATCGGTATGATATCTACCTTCCCTTTTCTTAGATTTTTGGGTGTTTTTTCGTGGTGATCTGTGGTGACCATATATTGACTACTGACTCAAAGTAGTAGTCAATGAGTGTTAGGCGTTAACAGTCTTAGCCCGACCAGGAAGATACACCTTAATTACTACAGCCTTCTAGAAACCTTACTGACATTGTGCAATATGGCAACATTCGAAAACATTGTTTTAGTAGTTTATAACCTGGCAATGAGCTTACTCATCAAACCAATGTCGCTGGAAACGAGCTTTTTCATAGCTGATGAGGATGATTGGTAAGATTTGAAGCCAGTAAGGTTTAACGAAGTCGCTTTGAAACAAACTCATTCACTTCGCTAGGCGATTTTTGCATAACATTACATGACTTGATAGGCATAGGAAAAATGTCAACAAAACAACATTCATTTTGGGAGGGTCTCAATGGGGTCATCTTCCTTCGTGAGCACGTGGTGTCATAAACTGACCTCTTTTCTTATGCGAAACCTCGGTACTTTCACAAAATGCGAACAAGGTCACGTGAGTTACCAGTGAAAATTATGGAAACTGGAAAACCACGAACTGTAACACTGCGAATATCCTCTGACTGCAAATATCCTCTGCGAATCTGACTTCAGTAAAGGAAAGTACGCATTATGAATAATGATGTAGGACTGATTTTAGCTTTTGGTCACATGATTGTATAGACCATAAGTTTCTCAAGTTAAACAATGCTTAACAAGCATAGCTAATGAGGTTGAAATATATTGTATAAAACCATAAAAGGTTTGAAGAAAGCAATTTAACGGTGGTAATATGAAGCATCCGTTCAACGGAAAAGTACGTTTTTACTATGTATGGAATCACGATGAATTTAGGCAAGTTTCAGTTTCTCTAAGAAAATTAAAACATCTCTCTTCGTGAGCGCGCAGCGTCATGACTTATCTTCTTATGTGAGACTGGCGCTTTAACAGACAAAGAAACAGATTATGGCCTTAGGAAAATATTTACCGTAGAACCCGCGGTGGGTAACCAAAGATTTAAGTGAAGGGTATCTCGACCATGAAACGCTTGTGTACAAGTAGGAAACGAAAATTCTATTCGAATCTATCGCGATCTGTAAATCGTTCGTTGAACTCTCCTGAAACAAAGTCTAGTTAATGGCTAATGCAGATCATAGCCACTGGAAAATCCACGTAAGGAGGCACCACGAAATTCCTTCAGCGAGGGCAGTCCACAACATAAAGAGAGGTCTCATTTTAGTTTTATGATCATCAATTTATCAAATTGCACGACACTCAATAACCTTAGTTAATGAGGATAAATTATATGGTATGAAGCCACAGAGATTTGAAAAAGTCGCCGTAGAACGAATTTATCAGACCGTGGTAGCGATTCAATCGCCCCATAAACCGCTTTACGAAGGGCTTAC